ATAAAAGCTTCTGGTCTGTGTTTTTTGCAAATCTCCTGACTTCATTCTCCATACTGAATTCAGATCTTGCAAAGCACGCAGGCTGGAAAGGGTTGATGCCAGCACCAGAGTCCCATGGGTAGGCAGAAATTCAAGCTCATGCATGATGACTGGAGTCCTGGAATATGTGGGAAGTGAGCCCAGGAAAAGTTATACACCTATGCAAAACAGAGGGAGGAACTTCAGCAAGCACACCTAATTTTAGGGAATCTGGACAGTGCAAGAAGTGTCATGGGAAGTCTGTCATTGGTTCAGTGTTTGCTGACCTTTAGGGTTTTTTTTTTTCCAACATAAAACTATTATTAAACGACAGCAGTGTAACAAGATCCCCATCAGTTATTAATTGGTTCAGCATGCTCTTTGAATTTTTTAGGTGATTTTGAATGTCTAAGGATTATACTGTTCAGAGTAACTAATCAACTAGTTGATAACTTTTGAATGTCGTCTCTCGGGCCGACCCAACAGTTCACTTCTGAGGTGGCTCAGTTATTGCAAAAGGAGTTAAACTCTCTACCGTCTTTCTCAATTAACAGGATCTGTGGAAAGTTTGCAGGGGTATGCGTTGCATTTACATCTGCATCCTGTTAGGATGTGTCGCTGTTTATTCTGATAGGATGTTTCATAACTGTGGTCTCATGGCTTTTCTCTCACAGTCCTGCAAATCTGACTATGGGAATATCAGGATGCAGTGTTAGCAGATGTAATCTAGTATAGTAAGCAATCTTGGTATGATAGTCTTGTTTTCTGCTTTACCTGACACGGTCCTCCCAGGAAGCATAAAATATGTCTGTGAATTCAATTGTCAGTGGCAGTAGCAGAGGACTGAGGCAAAGAGACTGTTTGCCCTGGTACATAAACAAATGGCTGTAATCTGTAGGAGCTGCAGTTCCTGAATGAACCTAACTAGCTGAATGTGTGGGATATATTATGAGAGTGGATAAAAATGTATGCCAAGCTCTCACTATGTCCTTGCGAGGGAAGACCATTGTGCCGCAGGAAGCTGAGGTGCATTTCCTTCGGTACCTTCTGTGCTTAACCCTGAGTCTTTCCACTGTCTTTTGAACCAGGGAGAGGCTTGAGTAATTTTTATGTAAACAGTGACCTAGGTGTCTCTCTTGTACCTCATAAGTCTAGCATTGTCAGGCCTTTGTTTTCAAATTCTCCAGTCTGTCGGTGAAGAGGGTTTGGCAGGAGTTGAATGGTGCTGGTCCACTTCGTTTTTTTTTTTTTCCTCCTGTGTATTGTATTTATGACTGTGGCAGTGGCTGAAGACTGCTGAAGAGTAAGGAGTATAATCAGGGACAGATATATGTCATGAATCTGCAGATTTGCATGAGAGATTCTTAAATTTTCATTTTCAAGCGCAAAAATTTCTCACTGTCTGTAACAGGCTGGGAACATGGTAGGGAATGTGTATTAGTTCGCACTCACCCACAGCTGAACAGCTTAAACCAGTATTTCTAAGAAGTGTGAATAGGAGTGTTTTCATTGCAATTACTGGTTCGTTCGCTCTGAAAACTGTTAATGATGACTGCATCATTCTTTTTAGCCAGGATTGGTTATATATCTTGCCTGGGTCCAAAACCAACAATTTCAGAAGATAAAAAGGACAAAACCAACAACTCTTACCTACTTCTTCTCTTACAACAAAAAAAAAATGTGTTTTTGAAAAACATATTTTTAGAAATATGCCTTTGGGATGTTGTTTGGTAGCACAGTCATGCAGAGAACTCACCTGTTCTTCCCAGGATGAAGAATCCCAGGATCACTATGTGATTTAATCTCATAAAGTTTAGGGATTGAAAGAGCATAGTTACATTTTTTTAACAGAACATCTTTTGTATTCAAATATTTGGATAAAACGTTGGCATCTCTGAGTGGTTTGAAAGGAATGGTTTGATTCATTTCCATCTTGTACGTTAAATTAGCCAAGTTTTACTTGGCTTGAAGTTTTTAGTTTACGTTTTTTTCGTATCACTTAACAACTGGTGTAATGCACTAGAGGAAAGAGTAGGTACTTGAGGGTATGCAGAATGCCAGATTTATCACTCGTGTGATTCTGCTGACTTCACTACAGCTAAACGAGGTTTAATCTGCTCTAGATGTATGTAGGTATTTTTTGCCAGGTGCTGCCATTAAGGAAAAACAGGAACAGCTTTTGGATCTGTGCCAGGCTGCATACCACAGGAGAAGCTTACCTAAGCCTGTGAGCTTGTTTATTATATCTGCAATATAGATTGCCCTGGTATTTTGGAATCTTACCCTTTTTTTTTTAAATTCTCATTACACTTCTAATGTTAAGCCTCAAGAAATCTCATTTTGTTAGGGTGGCATGTTTAAAATTCAGGACGCGGTAGCTTTCTGACTGTGGTGTTTCCTCTGTCAAATTTATTACACTAAACGACAATTTTTTTGCCTCTGACTACTGTAATTTATACTGAAAATGCCAAGCAAAGTAGTCAGAATTTCTAAATGAGTCAGACTGGGTGCAAATGGATGTATTTGTGTGTGCTCTCAAGTATTGCTGTGTTTTTTCCTAATTAATGAAGAGATTTTACTAGGTGGAAAGCCAAATTGTAGAGGTATGTATTTGTATTGGACTAATTCAGTGCCACTGTTGTAACACTGGAAATGAGAGTGAGGATACTGTAGTATGTTTCCACAGAAGAAAAGTCGCTATCAGATTTTGTCCAGTTATCCACAGCATGGATGTTCAGCTGACCAGTATGCACATAAGCACACTGACATACGCATATCTATCTACTATACTGCATATTTTAACAGAATTAAATGTTTAACCACCTTCTGCTTTTAAATAGCTGATGTAAAAGTTAGTATAAATTTGACATGTTAACCTTTTGCGGGGAATCCTAGACAGCAAGTACACATTATTTTCTGCAAACAGGTCCTGCTGATGAGAGCGCTCATGAAAAAAAAATTCTTACAGGTTTCTTAGTTTCTGTAAAAGGGATTACATTAGAAAGTATCAACATTTATTCAGTTTAACAGTTGACATTCCCAAGGTATTTGTTGCTTTGCTTATTATAAGGATTACCACAAATAGCATGAGAAAATAATCTACTGCTGAATGGTAAATATTGATTTTTTTCTTCATGTTGTTCTGCTAAGCATAGGAACAATACATTAAAAAAGATCTATTATCTGACAGTATCATACGTCTTCATAGATAAATGTTGACAAGTATGGAAACACCTGTGATATCTAATTTAGCTTAATGTTAATCATCTCTTCAGAACTGATAATAAATCTGCCAGATGAGCATGCATAGCATAAGGATGCACAGTTTAAGACTTTAAACCCAACACAGAGAGAGTGCTAGATGCATTGCTTAGTCTTCTTGTGTGTCTCATGTGCACGCATGGATCTCATCAGACGGGCAAAGAGGGAGCACAGCTCTTCCAGAGCTGCCTATTGCAGGGGAGAAGCTGAGGCACAACCTGCCCAGGAGCCTCTAGGGGTGGGAGCTTCTAACCTTGTCCACCTTGCCTTTTCTGCAGCAAGGTGATTTCCTCCTTACCTTTCTCCCTTCCCTTCAACAGGGAAGCAGCACAGTGCTGCTTCTCCTCAACCCAAACTCCTGGGAAAGCTGGGGTTATACCTGATTTCTTCCCCTACTACCAGGCATGCCTCAGTGAGACCCCTCTGCACCCTGGGCAAGCATGTGTGGTTCATATATGCAGTCATGCCTGCCTGCCTGGGGGCTCGGGCAAGGGCTTCGGCTCCCTTCTTTTGTGCTCACTCCCTTGCACCACACGCTGCTCCAGAAGCTGTCATAAACCCAAACCAGCTGTAACGCACAGGGATTAGAAGTGGCGAGCGCCTCTTATTTTGAGCTACTGTACTCTCTGCTGTGAGAGGAGTGCAGAAACACTGATGGGAGAAGGTCAGAGAGCAAAAAGCAGGGCCAAGGAGAGGGAAAATAATAAGGAAGAGGGGGAGGAGGAACAGATACACAAAGGTATGTTGTGTGACCCTGTTCGTGTTGTGACTAGAATCCTGAGCTTGTGAACAACAGTCTAGTAAAAAGAGTCTGCGAATGCTGACGCCGAGCGCAGCCACTGCCACGGCTTTGAGTTTGCATGAATTTGAGCTGGCATGCAAGGAAGCCACACACTGCCATTATCTGCTGTCCCACACACAGGCAGGCTGGTTCGCCTGCCGCGTTGTTTTTGCTTCTCTGCTTGCAACAACAACCAAAAAGGCTGAAAATATCTCCCGTAATTTCTGTTTGCTGTTCTCTGAAGAGCAGTCATGGTTTATTTTTACAGCAATCGCCCAGTCTGCAAAGCACCTTCCTGTTTGTGTAATGTTCCTCTAGTAACGGGGGAATACATGCCCTTTGAGCCCTGGGAGCAAAGGCCAGCCATGGCTGTGCGCGAGCAGAACACCGCACCGCACCGCACCGCACCACAACACGCCGCTCAAGGCATGTTCCCTGCTGATTCATGTCCTTGATGGCCAGGGAAGAAAAGCCTTTTGTATACAGGCGACTCAGTAACAGCCAACACATCTTAAAGCAAAAATCTCTGGCCTTTTTTTTTTTGTTGTTTAAACTAGGATCTCCACCCTGTCACAGCTGCTGTACTGAGTCATTCCCCCTCTTTGAAAACAGTTTTAAACTTTTGTCTGCACAAAGACAGGAAATGGGAAGGGAATCCCCATCTCTTTTCCTCTGTGCAGTAGGGGTTTTATCTCTGGTCCAAAACCAGGGTCCAAAACCAGGTCTGCAGGAGGGGAGGGGTGAGTAATACTTGCAGGAATGTGTGTCCTGC